GGGTTTATATAGGGATAATGGAAGAAAGCTCTCGCAGTGGGAGCTGGCCCAGCGCCTCAGCAGCGCTTCCTCAAGGCAGGTATGGCCTGTCATCTTGGTGCAAGGTGGCCTCAGAAGAAGTGAGAACTGTTGTCTTAGAAGACCGCATGCAAAACGGGGCCCTATATAACATCATTATAGTAGTTTCCATTTTCTTTTGCATTATCCCTATGCTACCCTTCTGAGGCTTGTCGGGTTTCACCTCCCAGCGGGTGCAAGTGCCCCTGAAAGGGATCACGAAGGCCTCTCTGCTACACAGCCTTGAGCACTAGAGGCACTCTGAAGGCGTGTGGGTTGTGGAGAGGCAAACTTCAGGGAGGAGAGCGCCGTTTTCAACATCCCAGCCGGTCCTTGCTCGCTTAGACTCCTGAGAGGGTCGGGGCATGGCTGGGTCTCTGAGAGCAGGAAGCAGCTTGCCTTGCCTTGCGCCGGCTTGCCAGGAAAACATCATCGAGCTGCATGTCATTAGGACCCTCTACTCGGATGAGCTGGGTTCTGAAAAAGCAGTGCAGCCTGAGGTTTTGGGAAGCTGCCGTGCGTCCAAATGCTTCCGAGGTACGTGGTGCAGATCGAATTGACAGCAGCAGCCTGAGCCGTATGGTTCTTCATCTTCTCAGATCACAAAGCGTCCCTGGTCCTGTGTCCTGGTCGCTCACGACAGCCACACCATGGTGCAACTCTCTACAGTAGCTGTAGCCCGTAGGTTTTCTAGCCCACAGAGGCAAGTGCTCTGTGAAATTCTTGAATTTGAAGCTATCTGCAATCGCCTTGCCTCAAGCAGGGGCTGCTGGAGGCATCTTTCGCCTTTTAAATGTGCATACAGGTATATATACATATATATATATACATATAGATATATATATATATGTATATATACACCTGTATACACACATATTTTGAAAGTGGAGGGCTTTTGGGGATGAAGCCAAGCCTCTGCGTGGCCCCAGGAGTTGATTCTGCCACCAGCTCTGTATGCCATGCGCTCAGTCTTTGCGTTTGCAGGGGTAGCTCCTACTTAGGGCTTGCTGCGCAAAGTGGGGTGATGAGGGCCGGCAACAGGAAACCCGAAAGCCTCATCCCTAATCCCTAAGTACACCGCTGAACCCTGAAGCATTGGTCTGCCCTGTTTCGGGGCTGATAAGAAGAACTTATACTGACCGGAAGAGTGCTAATGATCCTTCGCGCGGGAACCCAGACTTCTGGGAGGATGTAGAAATTGAAGCCTCCGATATGATGCCCTACTTGGGTCAGGGGGACTTAATAAGGGTTACTAAGGGGGATACTAGGAGTTTAGATCATAATCCTGATGTAATGACACATTCCTAGGAATTTTAGGGGTCTCCGCATTATAGAAACCCTAAGAAGGGCACCATAATCCCCATGTACTGACACATTCCTAGGAATTTAGGGGTATCCCCATGGTGAAGGTGAATGACACTTCGCTGCTGGTCTGGAACTCTGACCCAGGGTGGGCTCCTCAGACCCCTGGGTTTAGGGTTTAGGGTTTTAGGGTTTGGGGTTGGAATGTAAGCAGAGATCAGTCAGATTGTGAGAGCATGAGACACAGGGTTTTTTGCAGAGGGCTTCAGGAAAACCAGATGGCCTAAACCCTATACCCTAAATAGTAGTTTCCATTTTCTTTTCCATCATCCCAGTCTAACCCCAATGCAACCCTAATATTACCCCAGTGGTACCGGCTTAGAGGACAAGAGCTCAACAGCTCACCTCGAGTGCTCCCAGCCGCCACAATAGAACACTGCAAAGAGTCCAGCGATCAGCGGAGTCCCCTGGAAGCCTTGAAGCTCTTTTAGGCAGGCCATTGCTTGAGGTAGGTCGGGGCAGATGGATCTGAATGGAGATAAACTTCAGGCTATTGTGGAGGATCCTCTTTTTGAGGCTTCTGACTTGCAACAAGCTGAATAGTCCCCCTCCTCTTCCTCGAAGCAGGTACACCCCAAACTCCTTTGACCTGTTCCTGACCGCTCTCAACTCCAGGTTTGGTTTACTCAACTGGTTCATGGTAGGTCATCCCATTTATACTATCCTCCCTTCTTCCTTACTGGGAACCAGTAAGTTTAGAGTTTAGGGTTCAGGGGAAATTTTCTGACACATGTGCTGTTGCAGGGCTCCTCAGCAGCCGGTGGACGACTCACCAATGGACCCAGCCCAAGTGCTGTTGGGTGTGGGATTTTATGAAGTACTGGCATTTCATTGAAGCTATTGCTGTTTATATTTCTTTTGAAATAATTGATAGTAGTATTATTTTCTTGCTATTACTGTCAGTACCACTATTACTATTCAGTCTGAGTTTAGGGGCTTGGGGCCGCTCGGAGTTTAATTCTTCCTTTTGTGCCGCCTCCCCCAAACGGACGCTTATGATGCCACAAAGCCACTTGGACCCTGATCGTGAGACTTACCGGTGGATGGCTAAGCGATTGGCATGAACATTCCGGACAGCAAGCTAAGCATTTGCTTTTACATCTCCATCTAAAACGGCGATCATTGCTCTTATACATGTACTGTATAATCCCGAAAGCCTCACCTGAAAGGACACTACTTGGGATAAATCCTAGGCTGCACAGCCTACCAGCTTAAACCCCATCATCAGTATACACCAGTACATATCCCTAAACCTATACACAGCTACATATCCCTAAAACTATACACAACTACATATCCCTAAAACCAAACCCCTGAATCCTTAACCTTTTCCGAGGTTGGGATGGGGGACAAGACCTTCAAGCGCTCGCAGCTAGGCTTCGAGCCGGCCGAGCCCAGGCAGGGTTCTAGGGTTTAGGGCTCAGGGCTTAGGATTTAGGGCTTAGGGCTCAGGGCTTAGGATTTAGGGTTAGG